TCTGGAGCCATGATAAAGTTTCAAATACTCTTTCAGCCTCGACCACATAGCTTCAATATTGTTTATGTGCACTCTGGTAGTTGAGTGCACAAAATGGTACTTGTGGATAACGACACGATGCACATAACCAAGTCTATGGAGGAGTCTGTACGCTCTCCAAACATACGTATATATTGTAGTACCTGGCTGCAGCCAGTGTTACTGGTTCGCAATAATTGTCATGATTTGCCTTAATTAGGAATTATATATGGGGTTTTCATCACGGACTGACATCGACTATAATTCCAGAAATTTATTTAGCCAAATGGATGAAAGGCTTTCGCGTTAAAATCCGGGATCTATTATCTTATACCTGATTGATTCGTCCACAAATTATAGTCCGGCCGTTTTATTTTTTATAGCTGCTTAATTATCACGTTTTGTACAAAATTCTCTGTGTACTGATCATAAGTTAGCATTAAGCACTGAAATTGGCGCTGTAACCTTGAAATCTCTAAAACGCCTCTGATTGACTCGTCCATAAATTAGAGTCTCGCCGAACTAACTTTGTTTATCTACTATGTACTTGATAAAATTTTGTTTGATAGCTGACTGATACTTCGAAAACAACCTTTATGTATTAAACAGAAAAAGTACTTAAAATTTAACTGGAACATTCAATCTACTATCAATTTTAACCTAGTAGACATTGGTATATAAACTTCCAATTATCACATAAGTTTAATTATTTTGTAAGGTGATATTTTATTTGTTACAATTATAGATAAATAAAAGAAATGAAACGATTTAATAACAATGCAATTTCATAATTTTTGTATAAATATGAACATCAGTCATTTATGATGGTGGATTAAACTGCAAAATCGTGCATGAAGGACAGTTGACAAGGTCGTTCGAAGTGAAGACCGGTGTTAGGCAAGGTTGCTTACTCTCACCCTTTCTCTTTCTCCTGGTGATCGACGGGATCATGAAGACGTCAACATCTGAAGGGAAGCACGGGATACAATGGACATCTAGGATGCAGTTGGACGATCTGGACTTCGCAGATGATCTGGCCCTTCTATCCCAAACGCAACAACAAATGCAGGAGAAGACGACCAGTGTAGCAGCAGCCTCAGCAGCAGTAGGTCTCAATATACACAAAGGGAAGAGCAAGGTTATCCGATACAACACAGCATGCACCGATCCAATCACAATTGACGGAGAAGATTTGGAAGATGTAAAACCCTTTACATATTTGGGCAGCATCATTGATAAACAGGGTGAATCTGATGCAGATGTGAAGGCATGGGTCGGCAAAGCAAGAGCAGCATATTTACAACTGAGGAACATCTGGAACTCAAAACAACTGTCAACCAACACCAAGGTCAGGATTTTCAATACAAATGTCAAGACAGTTCTACTGTATGGGGCAGAAACTTGGAGAACTACGAAAGCCATCATCCAGAAGATACAGGTGTTTATTAACAGTTGTCTACGCAAAATACTTCGGATCTGTTGGCGAGACACTATTGGCAACAACCTACTATGGGAGGGAACAAACCAGATCACAGTGGAAGAAACGATGAGGAAGAAGCGCTGGAAGTGGGTAGGACACCCATTGAGGAAAGCACCCAACTGTGTCACAAGACGAGCCTTCACATGGAATCCTCAAGGCCAAAGGAGAAGTGGGAGACAAAAGAACAAATTACGCCGAGAAATCGAGACAGACATAAGAAAGATGAATAAAAATTTGATAGAACTGGAAAGGAAGGCCCAGGACAGAATGGGTTGTAGAATGTTGTTCAGCGGCTTATTCTCCATCGGGGGTAACAGGCGTAAATAAGTATCAGTCATTTAGTAATCTAAAAATTCTTAAAAGAAATGTCATGGATGAATACTTCTTTTTTCTATTAGAAGAATTATTGAGAATCCAACAACAAAACAATATTCACCATCCATAAAAACATCAACGAATTTTGTGATTCAAACTTCATATACAAAAAGAAATATGATTCATATCAACATAATTTGAAACAACAGAAACTACGTTATCAATTTGGATCCATTTGATTTTGGAAAGTATTAATAATTCAAATAGGTCATTTTAATATTAAAGGAAAATGAGCAGTTGAAGAACTTCATGTATTTCTAAAATGTGCAGCATTCAAAAGGAAAAGAAGATCACACTATCTATTCAATCCGAAAACATTTGAGCGAATATAAAATAACTTATTCACAATCACACCACAAAGATATTAAAGATATACAAATCTAACATTTGGTTGAACTCACTAACATATAAGCGGATAGATCAAAGCTATTTCATGTACAGATGCCTTTGACATGAAAATAGCATGGTGGAATTTTCTTATTTCTGATAAACATTTTTAATTGTTCGTTATTATACATAAATTTGTGTTAATTTTAAAAAGTTGCCTACTGTCTAAAGGAGTAAAATGTCAGAAACACGTTCGGGAATTTGAAAATATATTACTTTTATAGTATGTATTATAAGTGATTGTTCGTTCATCTTTGTAGGGATTTTATTGAGGATAATGTGGGAATTAACTAGTCATTAATGTCAAATACTAAACACACCTGCTATTATGGATGCTTAACCATTAACTGATGAATGTCAAAAATCTGATTTGATCGGAAAATTGTAAAAGAATTTAGAAATTTCAGTAGTTGAGATCAAGAGTCAATTGAAGCTAGACCACTACGGAAAACCTGGAAGTACTGGACAGCCATTTTGTTTTATTGCGGGACTCCTCAGCAGTGCAACTCCACCACCCCTCCCCACGGGATTCGAACCTAAGGCCTATCAGTCTCGCGTGCGAGCGCTTAACCACTAGATCACTCATGACAATGGTGGATATGTCGCTCAATTTCGCGGATTGGCTGGAGTTAGACATTAACACTGTAGGGTGCCGGCCGGCTCAGTGGTCTAGAGGTTAAGCGCTTGCGCGCGAGACTGATAGGTCCTGAGATCGAATCTCGCCAGGCGGGGTCGTGGATGAGCTCTTCTCAGGGGCCTCACAATAGGACGAAACGGCCATCCAGTGCTTTCAAGTTTTCCATGATGGTCTAGCTTCAACTGACTCATGATCTCAACTATTGAAATTACTACAATTTCCACAGAACCCCTTATGATAATAAACAACATAACCTCACTAATGACTGGCTTCAAGATGGATATCTTGGAGTTCTGGTGAGAAGCAGTGACCAGTGAAGTTCAGCCGGGTCAGTTGTGAGGTAGTAACTCACTGGTGATAAATATATTTTTTGTTATGTCGCAATGAGTAGAAAATTGTATATCTGACGTGTCGCGACTTAATTTTATTCGTTTCTTCAGAATAAATAAATAACCGAAATGAAATTAACACAAGTTTGAATGCTAGTAGTAGAAAGGAAACAATGCAAAATATTTTTGGTACAATCAAAATCATAATAGGTCTGAATATGTCAGTGTCAAGTTATTCTTGGTCAAGGTGATTTTGTATGACCTGTTACTGTATTAATTTGTATGTCAGAGTGTGGGTATGAGAAAATATAAGCATTTGTGAAATCTAATAGTGGCGTTAAAATGAGGTGTGTGTGTAGATTGTGTTGAAAACAAATAACATTAAATATCGTTGTTTGGATAAATTGTCCACTTTGGATGAATACTCGGGCCTTCTTTCTTATTTAGGGGATTTAACATTATGTGGAACGCTTCGGTTACTCACCTCTCTTTATAGTTGGAAAAGCCTTTCTGAATTATCATGATATTTTTAATATCAATTATTGAAAATAGCATATACTGCTATATCGCACATTTGATTTTGATCATGAATATAATAACATGAATCCAAAAAAATAGAAATGTGCAATTTGTATAGAATAAATGGGGTTTCATGTGTCCGATGCACCTAGTGCACAAATATGTAAATTAGCACACAACCAAAGTTTCTGAATTAAGATTGACTCAGCTTCTATAATCAAACAACAGTGTATAAGATACATAGATGCATACATACTAACAAAAATAAATCTAAAAATAATTACAATCTATGCAAGAGAATAAACTTTTCCAAGTAAATAAATACGATAGGCTTGTAATTATTATAAGGTAGTGAGTTTGAATGTAAAGCCACAGAATATATTTGTTCGGATTTAAATGAGACAGTTATTATTCAAACAAAAATAAATCATATAGAGATATGATGAGAATTATTACGCAATCATCTGTAAATTTTAATAGTTCTTCCAATCATATAGTTCTTCGACTAGTTAGTTATCTTTACATTACTGTTAAAAAAAAGTTTATAAAACATAATGATTTTTACTTAAAAAGTTTCACCTCTCACCTTATCAATTCATTACTTTCGTAAATTTTTATTTATTTTCAATGGTTAAGACCATGAATCAGTTGAAGCTAGACTACCATGGAAAACCTGGAAGCACTAGACGACCGTTTCGTCCTATTGTGGGACTCCTCAGCAGTGCGAATTCACGATCCCGCTCACTGCCGCGAGATTCGAAACCGGGACCTAATGGTTCCGCACGCGAGCACTTGACCTCTAGACCACTGATCCGGCATCCAACGGTGTTAATGTTTAACTTCAACTAATACACGAGCGATACATCCACCATTGTCTTCAATGAGTTACTATCTCACAACAGACCTGGTTGAACTCCACTGGTCACTACTTCTCACTAGAACTCCAGGATATACCTCGTGAAGCCAGTCACTAGTGTGTGAAACTATTAGGTCCTAAGTTCGAATCTCGCAGAGGGCGAGGTTGTGGCTGCGCACTTCCGAGGAGTCCCACAATAGGACGAAACGGCCGTTCAGTGCTTCCAGGTTTTCCATGGTGATCTAGCTTCAAATGACTCATGATCTTAACCACTGAAATTACTATAATATCCACAAAACCCATCTGATTTTATTTATTTGTTTATTACTTTTAAAAAAAAACACTGTAATTTCGCTTGTCACCATGCATAATTCAATCATATTTGTAATATTTTTTTAGGCAATACGTTTATCAGGTGATATGTTAATATCAATATGTCGTAATCAAAGTAAAGGATTTGTTAATATTCGAATACATGAAATAAGAAATTTACAATTTCTTTCATATGGAAGATGGAGAATTGAAAACTTGAACGATGTGTTAAATAACAGAGCTTGTAAGTAATTATAAAATTCATTATATATATTTGTTGTTATGGATTTAATTGAAGGTCAGAAGCTAATCTTTTATCAGTACGGTTTATGAAATTGCATTTCAACAAAAGTATACACAAAGTTTTTGCTGATGATGTCGTTCAGAAGAACGATGAAAGCTCCACAACCAAACCATCCAGCTCAAAGAACAAAACTCCATCAACATTATGGAAATTTTTTTACCCATGTCATTTTTACAATATACACGACCAAGGTAGTTACATAGAGAATATTGTGTTCGAATCAGAATTTCACTTAGTTTGTCTTGTAAACTATTATTCCATAGATTCATTACTAAAGCTAATATAATTCTTCTTGAATAAAATGCGACACTAGTTGGACTGTCAAATCATCATAGCTTCGAGAAGTTTACTTTGATGGTAATAATATGGCTTACAATGCAACAGGAAAGCGTAAATAAAGGAAATAATTCCCATGATTATCTAACTTCAAAGTTAGTCGTCAGAGCATTAGAAGACCTTGCTGTAGTCAAGGAGAAGATTGATGTGTACTTTAAATGAAATATTTCTTTATTATAAAACTTTATACGATACCTTAAATATTCTATTACACATACTGCTCAGTAACTTTATAATTATAAAAATTCATAACACCAAATTACAGTTATTGGATTGTGTAAATCTATATGCAACAGAATTGCTGATATGTAAACCCAGTCACGTGAGATTTATTAGAAATAATTAGAAACAATACTCTGAGAATTAGCCGATTATTATTCACTCCCGAGTCTTTTATGTCCTAATTTATCACCTAGTACCTAAGCTGTGTTTACCAGAACCTCATCAGAAATAAAGAAATAAAACATAAATCGATTTTGTTGAATAATAGGATGACAAAACAAAACTTAAGATTTGAACTGTAAACTGAAACTACGATAATTTTGGAGCCTAATTAACAAGTACACTTACTAATGAGTATTACAGCTAAGCATCAACTCAATGTCAATTAGTCTGTAGCGAGTGAGTTTACAGTATTTTAAATTTAAGATTATTTCTTAAACCTAATCATAAGTGATCAAGGACGTTATCCAAGAGTGAAGGAAAGCAGGTATAAAGATTTTTTGATAAGTTCAACAATAACCTATTTCAAATTATCTACTAAATAATATCTTTATATGTCACAATCACTCTGTTAACATTTATCAGTGTATTACATCATCGTTAATCATCATTTATCCCATTAATAATTGTAAACTAGTGAACATTTTAGTTAATTTATTACACCTTTATTATTAATCGTAACTCATACTTATCAGTAAAGAGCTACGATAAAAATTTACCTTCAATAACTGCTTTTCGTTTAGTTTTTTTTTCTATATGTTTGAATTCAAACACTTACTCTGATAAAATATACATAGAGACGTTTAATGTGAGTCGTTGAGTTAGTTCTGTATGTACGAACAACAATGAACATTATAGTACATTTATTACGTAAGTTGTTTTCTATGCACAATACTTTCAAAGTCAACACATACATGATGAAAAGAATGTTGAAAGAAAGTCATGTGATTAAGACAATTTATACATTGACATGTAATTCCAGTGAAGTTATTACAAACATCATATTTACTTAATTTCCCAGTACTGTTTTCCAATTAATTGTCCCTATGCAAACTGTCGTTTAATCATAGAGTCTAAATGACTGGAGATATTATATAAGCTTCTGGTAAAAAGAGTAGTTAAAGATAAGAATTTCACTGATTTCCATTGTTTGTTTACATTCATCCTTGACACTTCAGAAACTAGATGAATATCTTATCGAATCAATAATGTTTTGATAAATAGATAAACAATCTATGTGTTGTTTTATGTCAATAAGGTTACCAATCTTTGTACACTTTTCAAACAGTAGGTCATTTGAAAATGATTTGAATATAAAAACACCAGCAGTTAAAATAATGTAAATAAAGACATTAGGTTATATAAATGGTATTTAGATTTTGATTTGAAGAAAATTATTCATCGAATAACTATGGTGTTTGTTATTTTTCATTCTCTGAAAATCATAAAAATGTTTTTGGCTAAAAGGATGCTTAGTCAGACTGTTTCAAATATTCTCACCACACATATAATTCTATATTTCATAGCAAAATACTTAGAAGTGATTAACCAAATTTTAAAAAGTATAACTCATAAGTTCCAGAAAAATGACAATAATAATAAATATGCACGAATGATATTTTCTTAATTCTATAATTTGAACTGTTTCATATTTCACAGATTGAAATCATGAGTCAATTGAAGCTAGACCACCATGGAAAACCTGGAAGCACTGGATGGCTGTTTCGTCCTAGTATGGGACTACCGCACTCCGCGAGATTCGAAGCCGTTACCAGTGGAGTTCAACCAGGTCTGTTGTGAGATATCAACTCACTGAAGACAATGGTATACGGTGGCACAATCTCGTGGATTAGTTGAAGTTAGACATTAACACTGTTGGATGCCGGTCGGCTCAGTGATCTTGTTGGTTAAGCGCCAGTTGCGAGACTGATAAATCCTGATTTCGAGTCTGGCGGCGGTGAGCGGGATCGTGGATGCGCACTGCTGAGGAATCCTATACTAGGACGGAACGACTTTCCAGTGCTTCCAGGTTTTCCATGGTGGTCTAGCTTCAATTGACTCATGGTTTCAATCAGTGAAATTTCTAAAATCTCCACAAATCCCTTCTGTTTCATATTTACTTGTTCAGACTAAACGTTTCATTATAATAAACATTTTAGGTAAGTTCCCTAAAATCTTCAATCATAAATATTTTGATTATGCCATTCCTTTTTGTTTATAGATGAAGTGACAGTATATAGCTGTTTGATTAATGCTGGACATATAATTAAGTCAATCAAGGCAACAACAATCCATCATCCTTCTCGAACAACTTCAAAACATAATGAAACAGATGTAAACAAATCAACAGAAAACAAGTTATGTGAAGCAAAAACTAATGAGACAAAATCTAACAACTTCACACTGGTTGATTGTTTTGTTCACTTTAGTCTACCTACAGTAAAAAAATCTGTTGGTAGACATTTAGCAGTTAAACATGGTATAACGATATACGTAAAAGGTAAACTACCGATTTCAGATTTAATACCTTATGAATGCTTGAATCAACTTAAACAAATGTCAATTACTAGTACACGTGTATTAAATGCTATTGGTGAGTGCCATTTTGGTGATTATGGCTTCCAGAGTGATTTAATTAAAGATTTTAACAGACCACCTTCATGCCATTCTAGTCAAGGCTTTTCATTTTGGAATGATGCAGGCTCGCGTAATGGAACTCGTATATACCAGTGGTTACGTATTGAATGATGATCATAAATACTACGCTTTTAATGTAATCCAGTTAAAGAATCCAGTGCAGCATTCTTTGAACTGTACAATTTTGAACATTATAAGTATTCAGCAACTTACATTTCAGTCCATTTTAACAAATGTCATCTATTTTTCAACTCAAATTAAGAGACGTCCAGAGTAATCAGAAATGATTCTTTTTAAGGATATATTTAAATAATTAAAAATGTTTATCTTATGAAGCAGAACTCGTTTATCATTAACGTAAGAATGTCATCGATCATGTCATTGATCACAGAAACATGCCTAAACTTCATCAACATTCCATTGAAAAGCAATAACAATTAGTTTCTTTAAAATTATTATTTTATTCATTCATTTACAATACGTTTCCATTTATTCAGTTGTCAGTAATATGCCATAGTTATTAATATTGTCTTGTCTAACAATTTTGGGAAAAAGTATCTCGTATGTGTTGTTTGCTTCATCAAAGGAAATAAACTCACTAATAAAATAATAAATGTTTTTTTTGTTGGTAGAAATGTAAGAAAAAAAAACTATTTTATTTTGCAAATACATCATGAAAAACTCTATGTTCAGTTCTTTATCAAGATGATATGATAAGTATCAAGAACATTATCAAGATAAATGGCATACTCTGACTTTGAACAATGTCATTACTTCTTACGTCATGATTACGTTACAAACAAGATAGGATTACCAAGATTCTTCGATAATATATATATATATATATATATATATATATATATATATATATATATATATATATATATATATATATATATATATATATATATAAACTAAATTAACGACATAAATAAATTTTATTTCATACATTCTGCATCCATCCTAAGTTATGGTTTCCACCTACAAAGCTAAATGACAAATTTGCTGGTGATTTAATTATTCCAATAGATTTTATAATGATAGTTCTTGATCTATTTGATTGAGGATTTTTAAAAAATGTCAATGATTGTAACGAGACAAAGTCCAGAGTTGAAATGTTCACTGCTGAAGTATCCTAATAACACATGAAACAGATTATTATTTACTCTTAGGATAAAATACGTTGACTAATAGTGACTTGTGACTAATTTTAAATTTCACTTTATTCTACATCTTTGACAAAAGACACTGTACATCAATTAGGGTTGGGAAATTGAAAATATCAGAAGGGGTTTTGTGAAGATTTTTAGAAATTTCACTGATTGAAATCATGAGTCATTTGAAGCTAGACCACCATGGAAAACCTGGAAGCACTGGACAGCCGTTTCGTCCTAGTATAGGATTCCTCAGCAGTGCGCATCCACGATTCCGCCTCGCGAGATTCGAACCCAGGACCTATCAGTCTCGCGCGCGAGCACTTAACCTCTAGACCACTGAGCCGACCGGCATCCAACAGTGTTAATATCTAACTTCAACTAATCCACGAAATTGCACCATCGTACACCATTGTCTTCAGTGAGTTGATACCTCACAACAGACCTGTTTGAACTCCACTGGTAACGGCTTCTCACTAAAAATCCAGGAAATGGCTCTTGAAATCAGTCACTAGTGAGCAGATGATTATTATCACCTAAAACTATTACCTAAAATTCAATTTATCATATGCCAAATCAAAACGTTTTTTTCAAAAGAAAACTAGCATTAATTAATGCCTTTTCCCCAATTTTCAGCTAAACTTATCGTAGACATACACCTACGCATTAGTATACAGATTCATCACAACAAGCAAGAGTTGTAATTCAATGTTTCATGGTTCTAACACAATGGTTTAGCATTCATTAAGATTACATTTCTGTTAGTTACTTACTTTTGAAAATGAGATTGAATTCCTTTTTTAGATAAAAATAAGTATTCATAAACTGTAATGAGAGAAACTCATAATTATTGACAGTTGGATATGACATATCAGTGGACATATTTTGTGGTTACTCATTTATGTTTTGCATTTATAAAATTGTACATTTTATAACAGCAGACAGTATATTACAGCTGTTTAACACTAAATTATAAAATTGTAATCTCGCAAAAGTGGTGTATATATATCGAAAACCAGTAAGTCATATAAATAAGCTTAAAATTCACCCAGACAGTGATAAAGTACAGTGCTTTTATTTAATTCTGCAACTTAATCAATTTTTTTTTGAGATCATGAACCAATTGATGTTAGACCACCATTGAAAACCTGGAAGCGTTAGACGGCCGTTTCGTCCTATTGTAGGACTCTTCAGCAGTGCGCATCCACGATCCTGCCTGCGTGATTCAAACCCATGGCCTTCATTCTCGCATGGAAACGCTTAACCTACAGAACCACTGAGCCGGCATCCAATGGTGCTAATGTCTAACTTCAATCAATCCACGAATGGTGGGTGCGGACTGCTGAGGAGTCCCACAATAGGACGAAACGGCCGTCCAATGCTTCCAGGTTTTCAATGGTGGTTTAAAATCAATCGGTTCATGATCTCAATCAAAAACTTAACAATCTCCACAACCACTATACTGATACTTAATCATTTATTGTACTAATGTTCCGTTTGTTGATTTCATTATTCTTGTAAACTCTTTCTCTTTATGACAAAATGGATATAAATATTCATCCCAGAGTGAACTGATCAAAGAAATCAATATTTCTTGTGAATGTTACACCTGATAAAGTGTTAATTCTTGGTCACACGATTTAACCTCGTATGGCGTTTCTTACATTACATGAAATGGTTTTATTTTAATAAATCACAGCTTATCATGAATGATGACATGGCGATTCGATTGGTGAACTTCTATGAGCGATTATAGTTCTTTTTTTAGGTTAAAAGTGATACTATTTGATCTTAAAACAATTGAAACCTGATAAAATAATAGTTGAGACTTTCTCTACACCCTAACTTTATCACGTATTTTCAGCAATACGAAACATTGAAATTACACAGTAGGTTATAGGTGAAATCTTTATGATTTTCATTGCCAACAAAACTGTTTATATACGTAGTTCCACTTAGTAAAACAATTACAAAACAAAAAAATAATCCCATCATTTGAGCATTCTGATCATTAAAGAACATTTAGTCCTTGAAAGTTGTGGATTGTCTTTTATCAGCGCCCATTAACACATTAAATAAGAAAAATTGGTTCAGCGAAAAGTTCTCTTTTTGGTGAATTCATTTTCAAAGCTACAAGTTCAGTAGAAGCCTTCCAAAGACAATTAGACTGAATCTTCTTTGCATTGCAGAAGCATTAGTCATATATCTGGAAATACCAGAATTGTGTGGTCTTAATGTCTTATAATTTTCTCTCTTTTTCATACTCTTCTTCCTTTACAGCTATCACCTTCACTTTCCATCTTCCCCTTAAATCCTCTAGCCTTAACTGATTTATTTTGCTTCCACGATCATTCCGATTACATTTAATCTCAATTTCAAAATTTTATCTTATCATGCTAAACCATCCTTTCCAAATGATAATTTCCCTATCTTTTAATGAATACTTAAGCCATTAACAATCATCGTTTAAAAAAATTCTTAACACCTTTGTTTATTTAACCTCACTGTCACCATGTCTAACAGAAGTTTATTATCAGTATTACCATCCTGTAAAAATAAGTATATATTTTTTCGACTGTAAGGCTTTGAAAATGAAGTTGCCGAAACGAGAACTCTACGCTGAAGCAATCTTTCTTATTTTATCAGCGCATTTGATAAATAATTTCATAAATCACGTATACAAGAAAACCATATTCTACGTTTTTAAAAAGATAGAAATCATCAGCACTCTCATGATAATTATAAAAGTACAACTGATTTTATTTTTGAAACTCTTAGGATTTGCGAAGTAATCTGGGTAATTTTTATCAAACATTTGTCTCATAGAGATTATTTTTAAACATTTCCTAATAAGAAATTTTCTGAATTTTTTCTTATTATTAGACAAGATCATCAAAACTTTATTAATAATTTAATAGTTGAATTCATGCGTTAATTGAAGCTTGACCATCATGAAAAATCTGGAAGCACTGAACAGCATATACTAAGACGAAACGGCAGTCCAGTACTTCCAGGTTTTCCATGGTGGTCTAGTTTCAATTGATTCATGATCTCGACTATTGAAATTACTATAATATCCACAAACCCCCTCTCTGGTTTATTATTAACTAAATTCTTGTTAAGTTGTAAAATTCTATGATAAAAATAAAGTGGTGAAGTCAATTAAACCACTAGTTTATTTTCTTTTATGTTATGATAACAGCGTCTAACATCACAATGAACATTTTCGTTTTTCATATTTATTTACTTTGTTTTTCACGGAATAACATCGGAGATTGATGGAGTGATAAGTTATAATTCTCTAAAACATCACTGAACATAATATTTTTTAGGGGGGGATTTCAGATATTAATACTTTATAACTGTTAAAACTAAATGCGTGAATATATGTCTTGTCATCTAAGTTTCCTCATGAAGTATCGTTGAAATATCAATATAATGTGTTATTTTGTAGCATACAGGTTCGACCTCAGTTATTTTATAAAATATAACTATGCCAAGTTATTTTGAGGCATGCAAGAGTGTTACACTTACATGATTCTGGAGGAGACAATTTCCTTCCTGATCACTTATTTATATTGCATATTTAATATACACAATAAATCTTTAGTCAGAGTAACAAATCTATAAATAGTATAAATGTAATAATAAAAACAAGTGGGATGTGTTATCCTTTTTAGTTCAGCAGACATTATTTGAATTTTTGACTCTGTTCACCTAGACAAAACAAAATATCTTAAATATAATCTTGTTTATACATAGATTTCTAACGGATACTTTTTATCCAGCTGAATGAAGATATAGAAAGCTTGATGTTATGTTTAATTTGCAAAGTTATTAATTTTGAAGAAGCCCTTATTCTAGCTTCTGGATAGGCCAATTTATCCGTTGTTCTTGTGTCACGTTTTGACGTTGTTAATTATTCACTTATCAACCCTGTCTGTTTTTATATGAGCGTATGTGTCCACACTTTTTATCTTATTCATCACATGTCTGTAACCTATTTTTTATCTGGATATAAATATTGATTAACGCCTGATTAAGTGGGATCGGCTCACACGCCTTCTCCACAGCTCGTCATTTCGCTTCGCTCATTTCCCTTTGATTGCCTGCTCAGATCAATGAGTGTACAAAATATATGTATTGAAAAATCCATTCTCGTTTTCGACTTATTTTAATTCCGTTATTCATTAAAGTGAGCTAAGTTTATTATTCTATACGAGTATTGATGATATGTATATTTCAGTAACAATCAATCATACAATCTAATTAGAATCAGATCTCACAATTGATTGATCACTGGGTGCTGATCAATCAATTGTGATAACATTTCAGTCCTACAGGAGGTCAGTCGTGGCCCGGATAGCTCAGTGGTAACGTCTCTGACTGTGAAGCTGGGTGACACGGGATCGAGTCCGCCAGGGGGCACCAGTTCCCTCAAGGTCACAGGTACACCTTGCTGACGAGTGCCAAGCAGCACGAAACCCGGGTTTAGGGTTTCCTGTCGACTACCTTCAACCACCATCTGGAAT